TGAAACCTGAAACTGAGGAGGGACAGGGTGGGCAGTTTGTATCACCACCCACTAACCCATATGGGGTGACCCCCACTCAAAGGTGCACCCAGCAGGGCAAGAAACACCCCCAGGATGGAGTTTCCACCACCTGTCTGGGAGATAGAGGGATTGGGGCCCAGGGGATAACGGGAAGACGAAGGTATTTAGGGGGGATGCTCCTGAATCCTGGGGAAGGATGCTCCTGGATCCACGGTGGGGATGGTCCTGGATGCAGGGGGATCTCTGTCGACCACCCATCACCACCCTCTCCACCAACTGCCTGCCAGAGATGCTCAGAGCCTCTTGAGTTTTGTTCTACAGCAGCTGAGGGAATTTTGGAGCAACAGCCATTGAACCCCTACTGAAATTCCTATAGGTTTTTACCTATTTGAACAAAAACCCATCCCTTTCAGGAGGTGGTATGGAATGAAAAAGGACTTTTATACCCGGTATTTGTGCTTGCATTAGTGAAGATCACTCAAAAAGTAGCTCACTGCTGCTTACAGAGAGTTACTTAATTGCCAGAGCATTCGGAAAAAAAAAAAAAAGAAAAAGAAAAAACTCCCTTGGCGATGAATAAACAGGGCTTTATGGAAGACTGGAAGCTCATGAATGAATCCCACTAGGTTTTTCAATGACATAGGGTGACCAGACTTCAAGGACAAGTCTTAGGTAATCTGGGATTTTTCTTTTTTTTTAAGGAATTAATGCCAGCACACAGTATAAATATGCCAGAGCCTCTTCCATTTGTGGGCTTTGGCTGTTGACTGGATGTCTACTCAAAAAGCCATGAGAATATAAGGGCTGAGCTCAGATAAACAAGCTCAGGCCTCCCTGACAGCCACCACCAAAGTCACTTTTCACAGTTGTTGGGACCCCAGCAGAGCCTCCTCGCTCCCACCCACCTCTCTGGTTCTGACATCCACCAGTAAATAGGGTGGAAAAAGTCCGTGGCATCACTTGGGCAGGAGAAGAGATGGCAGGAGAGAAGGAAAAAATGACTCAAGATGCTTCCTGCAGTGATAGACTTTTTTTTTCCCAAAAAAACCTCTGGTCTTTTTTTTAATTTTTTTTGTTTTGGTTAGGTTTGGTTGGGGGTTTTTTTGCAGCAATGGTCACAGATCTAGGCAGATGAGGCAAATAGAAGGATTTTGCCCCAAAACACCCCACTGGGTTCACCCTGTGCAACCTGGGGTGATGGCAGGAACCCACCATCCAACTCCCATCTCTGCCTGCTGCAATTCCATGCAAAAATCCTAGACTCCAGGAAATTCACAGCCACATCATCCTCAACAAATCCTCATGTGCGACAGCCCACAAACAGCTGCAACACTTTGGGAGTCCTGTTCTGAGTTACGAGCCTAAGTTTTAGGAGCTCCTCAGAGCAAACACATACCTTTCTGAACACCTGGAAAACTCCCAGCAAACTGGGAGCGCTCCCATATTCCAGAAAACAGTGATAATATTTACTGCTATAAACAACCATGCTATTATTCATTAAGCATCTCTCCATTTGCTGCTATCACTGGGTTATTAGGACTCTCCATGGTTTCCATTACAGCCTGCCTTGGAGCTCCAGCAGGCTTCCACCAGCGCGGTGCATAAAGTTATTGTGAAAAAATAATAGTATAGAATAACTGAAAATAAAGTGAGCCTGCCCTCAGAAATTTTGGGAATTAGTTGTATTGATCACATGTAGTCCGGTTGGTGGAGAACATCTATCTGCAACAGTTGTGCACAGACTTGAGAAGTCAAAGCAGTAACTTGATACCTTGAAGTCCCTGGGGTACCATTTTTTGTCATTTTGTTGCAGATGGTTCATCACCAGTGATGCCCCAGTGCAACAATTTATCCAGTATGCCACGCCCACAGGAAACTCCTTTTTTCCCAGTATTTTTTACACCTTCCTGGATTTTCCTGAGGAGCTGCCCTGGCTTTCCCAACACACCCCTTGTCCGCCATAAAAAGGATCATCCCAGCTACTTCCCAACACACCAATTTGCACAAGAGGCTGTGAGGCTTCCTACCACCTGCCTTGACTCTCACAAATGTCAAGTCCTGCCCAAAAACTGCTCAATAGAAGACCACAGTCAGGATTTTTCTACACTGGGTGGGCACA